CTATGAGAAGTTGACCATACGGTTGTGTTGGAAGACCTGGAGATTCCTAGAGTTAGGAATCTCTCAGGTTAAAAAGTAATGGTATTCAATGTATTGTCGAAGGCTTTCATGGCTGGAATCACTAGGTTCTTGTGGTTTTTTTCGGGCTATAGGGCCATGTTCTAGAGGCATTTTTTCCTGACGTTTCGCCTGCATCTATGGCAAGCATCCTCAGAGGTAGTGAGGTCTGTTGGAATTAGGGCAATGGGTTTATATATCTGTGGAATGGCTGGGGTGGGGCACAGGGCTCTTCTCTGCTGGAGCTAGGTGTGAATTGTTTCAACTGACCACTTTCATTAGCATTTGAAGGCCTGGCTGAGCCTGGGAAAATGTTTTGTTGAGAGGTGTTAAGATGTGCCTGGTTGTTTCCTCTCTGCTGTTTTGCTGTTGTAATTTTAGAGTTTTTTAATACTGGTAGCCAGATTTTGTTCATTTTCATGGTCTCTTCCTTTCTGTTGAAATTGTCCACATGCTTGTGGATTTCAATGGCTTCTCTGTGTAGCCTGACATGGTGGTTGTGAGAGTGGTCCAGCATTTCTGTGTTCTCAAATAAAATGCTGTGCCCAGCTTGGTTCATCAGGTGCTCTGCTATGGCTCACTTCTCTGGTTGAAGTAGTCTGCAGTGCCTTTCATGTTCCTTGATGTGTGTCTGGGCAACACTGTGTTTGGTGGTCCCTATGTAGACTTGTCCACAGCTGCATGGTGCACGGTAGACTCCTGCAGAGGTGAGAGGATCCCTCTTGTCCTTTGCTGAATGTAGCATTTGTTGGATTTTCTTGGTGGGTTTGTAGATTGTTTGTATGTTGTGTTTCCTCATCAGCTTCCCTATGCGGTCAGTGGTTCCCTTGATGTATGGCAGGAACACTTTTCCTCTGGATGGATCTTCATCTTTACTCTCCTGGCTTTTTCTTGGTCTTGCAGCTCTTTTGATGTCTGAGGTGGAGTATCCATTGGCCTGGAGAGCCCAGTTGAGGTGGTTCAGTTCATCTTGAAGGAGGTAGGGTTCACAGATTCTTTTTGCACGGTCTGCCAAGGCTTTAATGGTGCTTCTTTTTTGACTTGGGTGGGGAGTTTGGTATTCAATTTGCAGTTTGCACCCCTAACCCCAATGAAAGTGGGGAATTGACTGTATCCATCCTGATGTCTGAGTGAACTTGGCCCTCGAAATTCTTCATTTCTGAGAAACTCAACAATGAATTACTGAGTAACTCAACAAAGTTTCAACCCTAAATTATCGCGGCATTTTCATAGCAAGATTTGTTCAGAGGAAGGTTTGCCTTTGTTGCCACCTGAGCTCAGTACGACTTGCCCAAGGTCTCCAAAACAGAAGTCCAATGCTCAAGCCACCAAACAAGGCTAGCTCCTATAACCAATTATAGCTCTGCTGTATTTCAGACCATCTACTCAAGGCAGAGAGGTTTGAATAAGACAAGCTCAAGGTCAAAGAAAACCAGCTTTTCCCCCACTTGTTAATGCACACAAGCAGCTGCAGGAAGCTTGTTATCCCCCTTCCCCCACCTCAAGTGAACGCTTGGATCCAGCTGCCACTTGTCTTGACACTGGAAAGCAGAAGGAAAACACACTCTGGACTTTGGCCACCGACCAAAGGACCAAGAGTTGTATGGGTTGGGGTCTGTGTATGCATTACTACAACCTTCCATAAACCATTTTGAAGACCAGAAGGAGGGCAATACTCTAAGAATAATAAAATAATTAAAGTCTCTTGAATATCACATGCTCCCTATCCCTGATTTTAATATTACCTGAGCAGATTTTATATTTTGCTGGCCAAAGAGATCTCTTTATTTGCTTTTTGGCAATTGCCTGTAGCCCAGTGAAGATTATGAGTGAAGAAACCCCTCCTCTCGTAATCCCACACACTTGTTTAAGGGCGGAAATTTTATTCTGTTGGACTGAGACTGCAACCATCCCTAGCACAACACTGACAATGATGAGGGATGTTGGGAGATACAAGTAATAAGTCCCTGGCAGACTCAAAAAGGGTAAGAAAGATGCGCAAATGCCATTGTGATGAATGTGAACACAGACCATCTGACTGGGGTAACAGGTAAACAGACTTTCCTGCTACAAGGCGCAGATTCCCAAACATGCATGTAATGTCATTATCTTGCTAATGAATCTGTCTCAAACCTCCACACTGGCAAAAGAAAAACAATTCCCAGAAAAATTAGTTCCATGAGAACGAAAGATGCAGATAGGCCCCGGATGACAGCCGTTATATAAGAGATTGGATTAACAACAATCTAGCGTAATGTGTCCCTGTTTAGGGAAAGGCTTGGAAAGCGAAGGCTGCGAAACAGACATTGCAAGAAAAGCTGGTTGTGGAAGGAAACAAACAATCTGTTGTATCCTGAAGACAACTTCCAAACAAACAACAACCAAGGCAGGTGTGGGGAGGGCGAAAAATAATAGATTGGAGTCTTATGTTGGCTACACTCCTCCAACACTTCCCTTCCAGCATCTTAGAGCGGAAGGCTTTTAAGTCAAATCAACTCAAGCCTAACAACCGTCTATTTTGTCTGAGCAATCCCAGCACCCCAGGCTTGTTTGACACTCTCTCAGGGTGGAATTAACACCTCGACACATGGGACAATTTAGGAAAGCACATCCCTCTTGCCTCTTGGGTTTACCTATTACCTAATGTTTGGCTGCTAATCTCAGGATGAGACTGCAGTATTTACAACCAGACAAACACATGGAGGAACCCAAACAAGGGTTTCTATGCAATTATTCTCTGGGAGACAACACATTGAACCAAGTGAGCAGCCAATGGAGGGACTGCGAAGCCAGGAAGGAGCTCTAGGCACATTCAAGAGCTCCTTCCTGAATTCAAGGATCTCTAGGATTTGTCAGAGAATAACCAACGTGCGGTCATCATGGCCACACACCACATGGATCCATACAAAGGACATCAGAATCATCACAACCAGGGTTTGGAACACACCAAATTCTTGATAGCCTAGTGACCAACTTTCTTTCCCAGAATGTAAGCTGGTGGAGATTTCAAGGCTTCCTTTAAACAGAAAGCAGCACAATGTAAGCAGGGCTATGAGATACGAGGGTTATCCAGAAAGAAAGGTTACAAGATTTTTTTAAAATACAAAGAATGAATATATTTTAGTAAAACTTTCATGGATTGCAGCATAGGTATTACATTATTTGTCCACATAATCACCATTCAGTTCAATACAGTTTGTCATCCATGATGCCTGTGTCATAGGAGTTTCCCTTCGCCTTTTTCAGATAGTTCGTCATTTCGATTTTCACCTCGTGGTTGTCAGAAAAGTGTTTTCCACCCAGGTGTTCCTTCAATTTAGTGAACAGGAGATAATCACTGGGTGTGAGATCAGGGCTGTGAGAGGGATGTGGCTTCAAACATCCCAGCCACATGAAATCAACAACTCTTGTGATGCGTGAGACGCTTATTGTCATGAAGGCTCCCGCTGTCAGCATCCCACAACGTTTGTTTTGGATGGCTCTGCAAAGTTTCTTCATGGTCTCACAATATATTCCGTACCCATTTTGTCCCATGCTGTTTTGACGTTATATCCTCTCCACAAACTGAAAATATTTTGCAATGAATCGCAGCGGCATTCATGCACTTAGCATTTAGGTTGAGTTTTACAGCGCAAACTTCGCACTTGGACAGAAACGGAATGAGGACGCTCATGTCTAACCTTGACCACAATGCCAGTCAATGAGCTACTGACGACTCCCACTGCTCGTTCTCTTCTGCTGGCTTCCTGCTACACAGCAGTGATATCAACTTCCCCTGGGAAAATTTCCCACAAGAGCTACATGCCTTGTAACCTTACTTTCGGATAACCCTCGTAGACAAGAACTTGGGGATTGCCATCCAAGAAATTAACCTTCCCAAGCACTGCAAATAGAACAAAGAGTCTGTTGAACATCAGGTGAATTTGCTGGATGTAATCTTCCCAAAACATAAACATCTGAGTCAAAATCTTGATATGGCATGCTCATGAATGAAGTACTGCTTAAGAGGAAAGCCAAAGTATCCTCAAAACAGAAGGGCAAAGGTGCCTAGGCTCAGAATAACAGTAAAGCAAAGTGAGAGGGCAATACTCAAAAGGATATAAGCAGTTAAAGCTGCCATATCAAACTCCTACAGCAGGGATAGGGGAAGATATATACATCAGAGCCATTGTATGATACCTTAGGAAAATTATACATGCAAATGTGAAAATGAATTCTTTGTTCAGAGCCATTGTATGGTACCTTAGGAAAATTATACATGCAACTGAGAAAATGAATTCTTTGTTTTTTATTTTCCTAACTTGCACAAAAAGTCGTTCTGCAAACCTTCCACCCTTTCCCTTTGTGAACCAAAGCACACACATATACATATGCCTGCACACAAACGCACAGCAAGCACAGAAGATCTTCAGGCTTTCATTTGAAAAATTTGTGCAACAAGGCAGCAGCTGTCACCATTTAGCTGTGCAATTTTAGCAATTTACGCAAAATCATTCTTGAAAATGCAAAACAACTCTAGAGACAGCCAGAAAATTTCTCGCCTCTCTAACAGGCAAGGAGAAAAATTGTGTGGTTTCTTATTCCCTTATGTGAGAATGAGGCAAGCAAGGACTTTCGGCCTTAGTACTACAAGACAATATTATGAAAAGATCCAGAGTTTCTAGATATAGAGTCCAAAACGAAGTCAAGAGTTTGGGAGTGAAAAAGAGGAACATGGGGACAGGCAGAGAAAAAAGGAGATCGTTAGGGAAGTCAGGCCAAATATCAATGAAAAGCTTTGACAGCAGGACAGCAGCTCACCAGGATGATATAATCTGAAAAGCAGCAGGAAATGACTATACAACTCCTGTAGATTTCATGGTAGAAAGCCCTAAAATAAATCCCAATTGTTTTAAAAATGTTAAAAGTAACATTTCTTTTGAAAAAATGATTAGAGCACTGACCTTCCCCTGTTCTTTTGGAAGTAGCTTCACCACCACAATATCCCCATTCAGGGCTCTGTTGCGAGCGACCACTCCGTCAATGAAGATATCCCGAGTGCCATCCTGGAAAAGAAAATAAAAATCTTAGAGCAGGTGTGTCAAACACATTTTCATCAAGGGCCACATCAAATGTATGCTCGCCTTCTAAGGGACATTGAATCCATGGACAGAGAATCCATGGATACAGAGAACAATGATAGATAGATAGATAGATAGATAGATAGATGGATGGATGGATGGATGGATGGATGGATGGATGGATGGATGGATGGATGGATGGATGGATGGATGGATGGATGGATGGATGGATGGATGGATAGATGATAGATAGATGATAGATAGATGATAGATAGATAGATAGATGATAGATAGATGATAGATAGATAGATAGATAGATAGATAGATAGATAGATAGATAGATAGATAGATAGATAGATAGATGATAGATAGATAGATAGATAGATGATAGATAGATAGATAGATAGATAGATAGATAGATAGATAGATGATAGATAGATAGATGATAGATAGATAGATAGATAGATAGATAGATGATAGATGATAGATAGATAGATAGATGATAGATAGATGATAGATAGATGATAGATAGATAGATGATAGATAGATGATAGATAGATAGATAGATGATAGATGATAGATGATAGATAGATAGATGATAGATAGATGATAGATAGATGATAGATAGATGATAGATAGATGATAGATAGATGATAGATAGATGATAGATAGATGATAGATAGATGATAGATAGATGATAGATAGATGATAGATAGATAGGTTTTCATCCAGTTTGGGTTCCCAGATGTTACTGAGCAACAACTCCCATCACTTTAGATTATCTACCATGAGGAATGGAGATACTGGGAACTGCAACTCAACAGCACTTGTGACTCTGAGGTTGGGGAAAGGTCAAAGGACACCATATCCACAAGCCTTGTCTCTAAATCCAAATCCCACTCTCATGACTAAACAGAACAAATGGCAGCCTTCCAGGTGTTACTGTATTCCAACTCCCAGCAGCTTTAGTCATGATGTCTAATGATGAGGAGGACAAAAGTTGGAGTCCAGTATCTGGAGGGCCACATAAAATGACATGCCAGGATGGATTCGGCCCATGAGCCTTGAGTTTGACAGGTGTGTCTTAAAGAAAGAGAATGTATTCGGAAAGTCTGCAAAGACGATGGCTCAACATTCTCATAATAACATACTATTGCCCTTTCCACTCCAGTGTTGAGGCCTGTGAACCTCCGAGGATAAGGACGGGGCTTTTCTGTTTGAGCCTAGTATTTCTGTAGGGGAAAGCAAAAGTGTTTTTTGAGATGATGGGAATGTTTTGGGTAGATCTGTTGTCAGGGACAAAAATCTCCCTAATCTGAAACTGTATTACCATGCCTGTCATTTGACATGGTTGCAGGACACTGAGAATCAGAAACACTATTGCATTTAGAAGGGGCTGGCCTGAAATTTAGAATACAGTCCTATCTTTGGTATGACAAAACAAAAGTAGATTCAGGTTTTAACAATCACTTCATAAGGAGATTACTACTCCGTGTTTGAAATGAATATAAGAACAAGTTTTGTTCAAAGATGCCACTATGCATGAAGCTTTGTTTAAAAGAGAAATTTCTTTAGCAGGAAAATGGTTGACTAACAACAACAACAACAACAACAACAACTTTATTTGTACCCCAGCCTATCTCCCCAGGGGACTCACAAATGTATAGCAACTCTAAGGCAAATTTATTATAGTATTTTCTGATGTTGAGAGTGAGTGACTTGTCTAAGGTCATCAAGTGGGTTTCCACAGTAGAGCAGGGAACTGAACCCTGGTCCAACACTCGAACCTCTACACCACACTGGATATAATTCTGGAAATGCAAACCCCAAGGAGTCACATAGGTGTGCTTTGTGCTTACAGAAAGATAAGTCATAGAATCATAGAATCATAGAATCAAAGAGTTGGAAGAGACCTCTTGGGCCATCCAGTCCAACCCCCTGCCAAGAAGCAGGAATATTGCATTCAAAGCACCCCTGACAGATGGCCATCCAGCCTCTGTTTAAAAGCCTCCAAAGAAGGAGCCTCCACCACACTCCGGGGCAGAGTTCCACTGCTGAACGGCTCTCACAGTCAGAAAGTTCTTCCTCATGTTCAGATGGAATCTCCTCTCTTGTAGTTTGAAGCCATTTTTCCGCGTCCTAGTCTCCAAGGAAGCAGAAAACAAGCTTGCTCCCTCCTCCCTGTGGCTTCCTCTCACATATTTATACATGGCTATCATATCTCCTCTCAGCCTTCTCTTCTTCAGGCTAAATATGCCCAGTTCCCTAAGCCGCTCCTCATAGGGCTTGTTCTCCAGACCCTTGATCATTTGAGTCGCCCTCCTCTGGACACATTCCAGCTTGTCAATATCTCTCTTGAATTGTGGTGCCCAGAATTGGACACAATATTCCAGATGTGGTCTAACCAAAGCAGAATAGAGGGGTAACATGACTTCCCTAGATCTAGACACTATGCTCCTATTGATGCAGGCCAAAATCCCATTGGCTTTTTTTGCTGCCACATCACATTGTTGGCTCATGTTAACTTGTTGTCCACGAGGACTCCAAGATCTTTTTCACACGTACTGCTCTCAAGCCAGGCATCCCCCATTCTGTATCTTTGCATTTCGTTTTTTCTGCCTAAGTGGAGTATCTTGCATTTGTCCTGTTGAACTTCATTTTGTTAGTTTTGGCCCATCTCTCTAATCTGTCAAGATCGTTTTGAATTCTGCTCCTGTCCTCTGGAGTATTGGCTATCCCTCCCAATTTGGTGTCGTCTGCAAACTTGATGATCATGCCTTCTAGCCCTTCATCTAAGTCATTAATAAAGATGTTGAACAGGACCGGGCCCAGGACGGAACCCTGCGGCACTCCACTTGTCACTTCTTTCCAAGATGAAGAGGAAGCATTAGTGAGAACTCTCTGTGTTCGTCCACTTAACCAATTACAGATCCACCTCACCGTAGTTTTGCCTAGCCCACATTGGACTAGTTTCCTTGCCAGAAGGTCATGGGGGACCTTGTCGAAGGCCTTACTGAAATCCAGGTACGCTACATCCACGGCATTCCCCATATCTACCCAGCTTGTAACTCTATCGAAAAAAGAGATCAGATTAGTCTGGCATGACTTGTTTTTGATAAATCCATGTTGACTATTAGCGATGACCGCATTTGTTTCTAAGTGTTTGCAGACCACTTCCTTAATAATCTTTTCCAGAATCTTGCCTGGTATCAACGTGAGGCTGACCGGACGGTAGTTATTTTGGTCATTCTTTTTTCCCTTCTTGAAGATTGGGACCACATTGGCCCTCCTCCAGTCTGCTGGAACTTCTCCCATTCTCCAAGAACTCTCAAAGATGATTGCCAATGGTTCCGAAATGACTTCCGCTAGTTCCTTCAATACTCTGGGGTGTAGTTGATCTGGCCCTGGGGACTTGAACTCATTAAGAGCGGCCAGGTATTCCTGGACGACTTCTTTCCCAATTTGGGGTTGGATGTCCTCCAATCCCTCATCCACTCCATCTTGCTGAGGTTGAAGACTCTCTTTTTGTTAGAAGACCGAGGCAAAGAAGGCATTAAGTAGTTCTGCCTTTTCCCTATCCCCTGTCAGCATTGCCCCATCTTCTCCTCGAAGAGGTCCTATCGCCTCCTTGTTTTTCCTTTTTCTACTGACATAAGAATAGGCCCTTTTTATTGTTTTTAATGTCCCTGGCAAGTCTGAGCTCGTTTTTTGCTTTAGCCTTGCGGACCTTTTCCCTACAGGTGTTGGCTATTTGTTTGAATTCTTCTTTGGTGATTTCTCCCTTTTTCCACTTCTTGTGCATGTCTCTTTTGTGTCTTAGCACAGTTAGAAGTTCTTTGGACATCCATTCTGGCTTCTTTGCACTTGTCCTATTTTTTCTCTTTGTTGGCACGGTTTGCAATTGTGCCTTGAGTATTTCAAAATTCTCTCAGCAACTGGGAGAACTGGAAAGGAATAGCACTCAGTAATGATGGCTACCATACGTACTTCTTGTGTAGAAGAGGCAGCACTTTTCAGCAAACTACTTGTGAAGACAGCGACAGACAACCAAACCACCAGTAGCATCAGATTTTCTCACCCTGCCATTTGATACAGCACATGATCACACCTGGAACACCCCAGCAAGCGAGAGTCCAGAAGTGGCAGGCTCAAACCCAAAATCTCAATCAATGGCTGATACCAAATGAGAGACTCCCTCCTGCGAACACAGAAGATTGGGCAACTTGGAAGGCGCTGAACAGACTGCGCTCTGGCACCATAAGATGCAGAGCCAACCTTAAGAAATGGGGCTACAAAGTTGAATCCACGACATGCGAGTGTGGAGAAGAGCAAACCACTGACCACCTACTACAATGCACCCTGAGCCCTGCCACATGCACAATGGAGGACCGCACAACACCAGAGGCACTCCAAGTGGCCAGCTACTGGTCAAAGGACATTTAATCAACTACTAAGCTTGTATTTTGTCTGTCTGTTTGTTTGTTTTGTTAAAAATGTAATACAAATGTCTGGTTGCTCCTGACACAATAAATAAATAATAAAAAAAATGATCACACCACACTGGGTTCAACCAAAGGTCTATGAGATTCAGCTTTCTGTTCATACAACTGCCACCCAGTTGATTTCTGGGAGATCACAAAGAGGGCATAAGTATAACCATAGCTCTGTTTCACTGGAGGGAAGAAGCAGCCATTCTGACTTATACTTGATGGCCCCATCTTTCTTGAATTTATCAAATTTCTTGTTATCCCTGTCCATTTTGACAGCCTGGCATTGTGATGAGTCTTCTGTACTTCCTTTGTCTTCACTATTTGTGGGATAACCCCACTCAATTACAGTATGGTGAGAAAGAAAAAGAGATGAACTTCCTTCCAATCCACTTTCTCCATACCATGATTCTATATACCTCTGTCATAGCTGCCCTCACTCATCTTTTTCCTCCCTAAGTTAATAAAGGGGTTAGTTGCAGTCCCTCAAGCATTTCA